TTTCCATCTTTCTTTTCTCTTCTTCTTGAGCTACGCTCGAAATTCTTCCCTATGCGATACGATATTTGTATCAATGGATGCTTTCATTAGACACCGAACAAAGCATAAAAAGACCCCTCATTGTTCGCCGCCCTGTGCCACCGCTAACCCAGCCGCAACAAGAAATATTAAAGGTTTTGTTTGGTGATTTGCAGTCACCTGAAACTTACCACAAAATAAATGGGCATATCAAAATTTGATACGAACTGATTTCATTGTTCCACACCGGTTAAATGGGAGACTTGGTGATGAGTTTATATAACCAAGGATTCTCCACCTTAATAGCTTCCATAGCTTTTTGGGTGTGGCTTTCCCTTGTGCTGTATCAAAATTCCTTCACAATTTTTTTGTTGGCAACAGGAAATCGGCCATCAATTCCAAAAAAAAAACAAGAGGTGAATTGCAGTTTTTCTTGATCTCCTTCGCGAAACTCAATTTCTCCTTAAGGCTTACTTTCCAACAACCTAAGAATTTTGTCCAATGTACCGTTCAATGTCAAAATAATGGAGGGTGTTATTGACAATTAACAAGAATAATTTCTTTATCAAAGCAGCCTCAAACAAAACTTATGGATGTAACAACCAAGGAGCAAACATGAAAGCAAAAAAAATAAAAAAAAATGTTGCCGCTGAGGATAATTTACCTAAATCATATGTTTTTATTTCCCAATGTAGGACTTTTGGTCATTATCTATTAGTCATTATTCAACTAAATGTCTAGCATCACTTGGACATTATTTTTCTCACTAGTCATTATTAAATCCTATTTAGGGAATAAAAAAGTTTAAGTCTTACATTGGAAAGTGGCTTACTCCAGGGTATGTTTTAGTCTTATTCAGTGCAAATTTCACTTCTTTTACTTATATGCATTCAAAATAGAACCTTCTTGCTCACTATAGAGAATCACATTGGTTCTCCATTTTTCCACCATGGTTGCCCTTAAAATGTAACCAGGCCGCACCCTTGAGGTGATGAGCCGAGGTATGTGAGTATTTCTAGTTTTATGAGATTCCTTTAGCTGATGGTATGCATTGCATGGCAGTAATGTTAGAGGGCTCCGCCGCATATTCGTTTAATTGCCGGATGCATGGTGGTTTAATTGATGGGTCGGGTGATTTTGTTAAGAAGTTACAGCTTTGATTTGTCCCGTTACATGATTTGTATTATACATTTTTTGAGAAGCCAACACAATAGGCTTAAGACACAATTGTCGACATGAAGGAAGCCGCCACCACTAAACCCGCTTCAACGGTGGAAAATGCGAAATTCACTATTTAATCACGCGAAATTCACCATTCTTTGTAATCCGAGTAAATGCTCGCGATATCCACGGCTTCACTTGCTGTAGGAGTAAATGTTTGAATTGGCGATGCTATTTCATTCTGGAATTTGAGTGATTCACGCGATGCATCAGGTAATTTATTTGCATTAATTTCAAATATATAACGCGATTTGGATGTTTTTTGGGTTGTTGGTGAATGACCTCTTACTTTTCTTTCATTTATCCAGTTCAAAATTTTGGAATATACTCCTAATTATTAATAATCTAAACATCCGTTACATTCTCGTGTGTGTGTGTCAATGAACTTGAAGTGTTAAATTTGGTAAGGGATAGAGGGAGTGTAATGTAGTGCAATTTGGGGAGACCAATCTCCAAAGTCCAAACTACCAATCGATGAACTAACCACTGCCCTTCAAACTATGCAAAACATATATGTTCTCTCTTTGTCGCCAAATAAAGAAGATAAGTAGTTTTCACAAGTAGAACTTATTATAGCACATGCTCTTCCAAACATGACATAATATTAATAATAACAATAAAACAAGACAACTAACCGTCCGTACTAAACCACTGCACGTTCTCTTATAGTGACCTATCAGCCCCCCTGCTTCATCACAATTGTTCAATACTCCGTATATAAAAGTTGAATTAAGCTAGGAGTACACTAACATGGGGTACCCCAAGTGTACACCAAGCCAACACAGATACACATAGACACAAAGTGTCTGTGTTGCACAGACATTTGGTGTATGTGTGTGTCTGTGTTGGCTTGGTGTACACTTGGGGTACCCCATGTTGGTGTACCTCTAGCATTGCCCATAAAAGTTTTGTGAAATTGTGTGTATAATATTGTATATTTACAATCTACCATTCATTCAATAGGGTAGCCCTTGTGACCAATATTAACTATTGCTTCTGATCCTAAAAGATTTTTCTGTTTTGATATTTTTAGTCAAACAGTGACACTTTTGATCACAAATTAAACATAATCTAAATAAATGATTAGCATTGATCACAGGGAGTCCCAATTCATAAATTTTCTTCTTCAAAGCTCAAATTACAGAAATAAGAGGGAAAACTAGTATTCCGTGGCAACGATCTCCTCATGTAGTCTTTAGAGAGGGTTTAATCTGACTTTATAAGTTTATACTTCGTATTAAGGGTCAAACACCACAACTAACAATATAATGACTGTCCATAACAATCATGATACAGAGGTTCGTTGGCCGTACGCCTTTAAAACATCTAGAAGTCGGGGGTTGCAGAGTTGGCAATTGCAATGTGTGCCGAGAAAGTAAGACCCAAGTTCAACTCTTGGTAACTACGATTCTACGAATGGAGGCAACTGTGCTAAGCATAGGGCCTATACAAGTATCTCGTGCATGCTCCTGTATTTGCCATCAATCTGCAATCAAAGTTTGTCTTTCCCTCTTAGTGACCCCCCTGCTCGGTCTGAACGGGCCCTCAGGGATCAATATTACTTTTCACAAATTTTTACCCCTAATCTTTATAGTAAAAAAAATTATGTCCTGTTTATGCAAAAAAGGAGAAGAGGTTCAAAACGTCTTGAGTATTTGTTTTTGACAAAAATTACCAAAGGGAGAGATAGTTCAATGTGTTTTCATCGCTCAATATTTTGTTGCTTGAGTTTTTGTAACTCCAGTTGGCATTATTTTTTGACAAACAAATAAGTTTTATTTGTTGTTATTCTTGACCATTTTACTTTAAATTGAGATGTAGCATTTTGTCCATCATAATTCTACTAAAAAAAAGTGCTATGTCATACTATATAGTCAAGAAAGAGTCCTAAGCATGGTGGGATCGTCCTAATGACTTCTTGCGCAAGGATTAGAAGTGTTTGGTGATGGTAATGTTTGTCATTTTGTGTAGAAGTTGAGCGGCTTAAAAATGTATTTATATATGATTAATATACAATAACATTTATATTTAAATTTAAAACATATCACCCCAAACATACACAATGGTAAATTCTTTTTTATTTAAAATTAAAGTTTTCTTACATACGGGGTATTTATTTGGATAATCATTTAACTGAGTAACTTTTAATGGAGTAACACTTAAATTCTTCTAACATTTTCAAACTCCTTTTAATTTTTTTCCAACCCCTTCTTATTTTTCTAATATCTAATTCTGAAATTTCAACGCAAAAGAAAATGGTTTTATACAATATGGTGGTCCATTATGAATTTCTCTTCCGGAGTAATAACTGTATAAGAAATTAGCATGCGATTATAGCCTTATAGGTTTTGATATAATGCTATATGATGTAACATAAGGCCCAAACTTGTAATAATACTATACGACGTAATATAAGGTGTTTAAGGCCCAAATATGTATAGCCCAGACTTTTATTCTCGCAAAATAGATTATAATTTTTTTTCCTCCTCGATAATTTTGTTTATTTGTATGTTTTTATTAAATATTTGATAAAATAAAATAATTATATCATCTCTCATTTTGTAGAATTTTTGACATAGTTTTTTAATGTATAACTTTTATTTTTATTGATAAATTAATTTATAAATAAAAAGATTAAAAAAAGAGATTTTGCCTCGTGACTCTAAATCTGTAATCAAATTAGGAATGTATAGAATATGTTAATTCTAGACATCCATATAAGATAAAGTATAGAAATGTAAGAGTTAATTCTTATGGATGCTCTGTACTAAAATTGAAATAATTTCGTCATTTTCTTAAATATTAAAAACTATTTTTAATTAATGGTCAAAGTTATTGGAGTTTGTCCAACAAAGTCAAATTAAGATTTTTTTTTAATATGAAATAATCATACAATAAAAAAATTAATGAATAATACATACTACATCCGTCTCAAAAAGATCTTCACACTTCACTATTCAAAACCACAAAAACAAAAAATTAGTTGTGCTCTTTCATTGATTACATAGTCTTGATAAAATAAATTGTTTTTGTCACATCTTCTTTGTCTAAAACATTTGACATAATTTTTAAACATGACTATATTATTATGTTATACCAATTTTAAATAAAATAAATAGAAAATCTTGAAATTTTGGGAGGGAGTAGATTTAAGGTCAATTTACGTAAACGGGTTAAACATATAATTAACTTTTTCTAAATAAAATTGGTTTTATTACTCTAACATTTGCCAAAGGAAAGTTCTAAAATGCTCTACCATTGAAAATGTGACTATGTGAGTGCTTCCTTAATAGCCACAAAAATGACACGCTTCCAAAACGACTAGACTACAAATAGGCATTGGTAATGTCCTCTGTCAATACATCCTTCTATTAATATGACATATGGTGTTTGTTTGTAAAATCTACTGAAATGTCTATTCGATAAAACTCTAGATCATTATAAGAGATGACATACGGAGTATTACACAATAATTCAATTAGAATGACGCATCATTAAAAAAACAATTTGAATAGTGAGTTGAATAATTAGTTATTATCTAACACTCGTTGTTAGTGACTACATTCGTAGAATCATTCGTATAATCAGTCATTATTCAATCTTTGTTACTAATGAGGATATATATAGTAGATCATACGGAATACATAAATATGCTTTTAAAGCATGACAAAACATTGTATATAAGTCATGGCGAGTTGGTCGTTCGATTATAGAAAATATGTAAATAGAGGAAATACGTTATATTCATCTACATGGTAGTTACCCACAATGCAGAAACCATGAAACTATCTATAAAAAGCCACCATCTCCGACGACACGAAAAACACATGAATTAAAAAAAAAACAAAAAAAAAAATCCAAAACACGGCCAAAATGAAACTCTTCCTCGTATGTTTTTTCGTGTTGTCTTTCCAACAGCTGGCCGCCGCCGTGACCGTTAAGGCGGCGTGCGCGCAGACGAAGTCGCCGGAGCTGTGCGCTTCAGTCATCGGGTCCGATCCCCGGAGCAGAAGCGGCGACCTCCGCGTCTTCAGCGCCATCGTCCTCGGAAAGACTCTTTCCGACGGAAACGGCCTGAAACGGAGTTGCCCGGCGGCGTACGCGGGGATGGTAAACGACGTCGGAGAAGCCATTCGGAAACTGAAGGAGCGTCAGATTGTGACTTCCGTTGATGAGAGCATCGAGAAGGGCATTAACGCCGTTAATGGTTGCCGTGAAAGTCGTGCCGGAGATCTCGTCACCCTTCTCAATATTGCTAAGGATGTTCTTAAAATCCTTAATTAATTAAATAAATGTGGGGGGCAGTTTGGTCTTTTTAATAATTGAAAAAAAACAGAGGCTCACTTTTGGTCCTTCATTCTTCTCAATGCTGTTATTGCTGTAATCACGTCCGGTCCGGTTCAGAAACCCAAAAAGTGAAAAAACAAAACATGGTGTAAGAAAATGGTATTCAGAGAATTAGCCTGGAAAAATATCAAATAATTAGAGTAAAAATATTTTATCTTATAAAATTGGGGACCCTATATGATAAAAATATTTTATCTTACATCATCAAAGATGTGCGGAGTATATTTTCTAGAAGTGTATTCTCTGTCCAATTTAAATGGCTAGTTGTAGTGCACGATTAAGAAGTAGTGTCTACACTAGTTTTTAATCTATTTAAAAAGTAGTGTGAAATGAAAAGAAGAAAATGATTAAGCTAGGAATAAAACATGAATAAAGTAACAAAATAAGAAATCTATGATTTAAATTTCTAAAATATGAGTCTAATACTAATAATGTCAATATATAATATCAAAATCTACAATGAAATACATATACAATGTTATAATATCATAATGCAAATTTCTATTTTGCCAATAAAAATATGAAACTCTTATATTGAAAATAAATATTACTCCCTCCGTCCCTGAGTACTTTTCCACTTTTAATTTTTTCGATTAAAATTGATAAACTTTAATCTCCAATTAAATAAAAATGACAATGGATATCGATACAAAAATTGTTTTATTAGATTTATTATCTGAAATATTTTCAAAATATTATTTTATCTTAATACTCCCTCCGTCCCAGAGTATTTGTCCACTTTCATTTTTACACATCATCCAATGCACTTCTTTAATCCATTTTATCTTGTAATTTGTATATTAAAAAATTATAAAAATTATATATTAATAATCTATATGTTAAGACAAATCATGCAAGATCACACATGACTATATTTAAGCTTGCACATTGAGAGAATTTAATGAGTCAAAGTGCTAAGATGAACAGTTCCAAAAGTCAAAAGTGGACAAAAACTGAGGGACGGAGAGAGTTATATACAATATATATTTTATTTAATTATAGTTCAAATGTTAAAAATAGTTGAATGAAACATTAAATGGGTACTTTTGTCAAATTCGTGTCGTTGTTTATTCAAAGCTAGAACATTCTACTCCTATGGAACTTTTTTATTGAAAGAACATTTAAACTCTAAGTTGGACTCATTCTTTTGAGCAATAAAAATAAGTGATCAAACAGAACTTTTATGAATGTACAAAATATTGGACGTTTGAATGTACTCCCCCGTCCCGAAATAAACTTCCATGTTTCAATGTACAAAATTCAAAAAATATTGGAACGTAAAAAAATATATTATTTAAATTTCATTATGGAAAATATAGAAATGTAAAATTTATTTTGAAGTCATAAGAAAAAGAAAAAATAAAGTTTATTTCTGAACGAATGGAGTGAAAACTTAGAACACCACTTTTGCGAGGAAAGTAAAACCACAATAGTCACTTTGGTTCAGAATTTACAGTTTCTTCACCAACCATTCTTCTCATGCCATGATCTACTCTCCAATCTTGTTGGAGAGTAGAACACCAAACTTCCAAATAATGCAGGAACAATAACAACAAACCCGACAAAATCCCACCTCCGAGTAGGGTCAAAAACACGATTCCGTTTCGTAGAATCAGAATGCAAATTCGCACAATCAAGACAAAAGCTCGGGTTTGTACATGAACTTCACCACATTCATAGCTTGTGCATGCACACATTCATTCATAACCATACAATTCAATAATCATAGTAACAACTAAACAGTTTTTTTTTATAAAAGTTAATAGTGCTTGGAAAGGAGGAGTTGGTGTAAAACCCAAACCATATTATTCTCACATTATGGCGCATCGGCTGCTTTCCTCTTGGGGTTGTACGGGCGTTTGTTGGTACCGGTTCGACTCTGATGGGTTGTACGTGAACTCCGAAGTGTCCAGCCCATACTGCCATTATTCACAACCAAATAATTTAATACCATTAGAATATGATGAAATAAAGCAAAATATATCTTTAAACTTAATATGCTTTTTTTAGTAGTGCAGTAGTGCAGTTAGTCAATGTAACTTTCAACGCTTATCATGGGTCATCTGGAAACAGTCGCTCAATGTTTTAAACATTGGGGGTCAAGCTGCATGTCCACCCCCCCCAATGGGCCCGAATCCGGATTGGGTAAATGAAATTAAGTCAAACCTATACCCGTGAAATGATTGACAGGTCCAAGTCGAAACTAGGTCAAAACTTGACCCATTGACTTGACAGGCCTACAGAGGATGCGAGTTTAGAGAAAAATGGTAAAAGAAAGGGCAAACCTTTTCCCTCATGCGTGTACTCCAAGCATCACTCCGAGTTGAGGGACGAGAGTCAAGGGTAGCACCGGCAGGTGCACCTGGGGCAGGAGCAGGCTGCCTGTTGCTGATCAGCGGCTGGCGGATCTGCTGTCTGGGAACACCTATATACTCATCGTCGCTGTCATAGTCTGCCGGTGCGTTTAGTGCCCTCACCACAAGGGCCAACAAGAATATGAGTGCCTGTAATGATATGAATACCACCTCCATCATTCAATTTTATGTTTGAGTTTCATGGGCAAGGTTCTTTTGACACCCACCCTTGGGTGTCATGATATGACACCGAGCCAAGGGGGTGGAGATTAGGGGATAGGCCCCACTTTGGGGCCCATCGAAGCATTGCATGGCCATGGTGTCATAATATGCCACCCAAAACTGGTGTCAAAAGAACCATAATGAAGTTGTAGTGTGCAGTGACTTGCACACTAGTAATGGCATGAAGCGACATGATGCTTTTTTAAATATTAGACAATGAACGAATTGGGAAAACGTTACTTTTAGTCACCAATGCATACATTAAGAAGCTTGTCGGGGATTTTTAAAGAAGCAAAATACATTAAACATTTGTACCTCCAAGACTACAGCCCCAAGGGCAGCCCATCTGATAATATCCCAGTGTTCTTCCAGAAATTTATATATCATATCAAAGCTTCCCGTTTTGTCTGTAGGTATTACCTGCCAAACATTCATCGCACTACTTAGAAACACCACAAAGCTACTCTAGACTGAACTGAAGAGACGAGTTAAAACCACACTAACCTGCTTCCAACTTTTGTCAAAGAATATAAAGGCAGCAATTCCCAGTTCTAGCAATATCAACAACATTATCAACACCGAATACTGTGATTATTGTTAAGGAAGCAAAAGTTTAACTAGTATAAAAGACTACAACAACAATAACAAGCCAAGTAAAATTCGCACAAAAAGTAGGGTTTGGGAAGGGTTATATCCTCGATAAGATCCTAAAGTCGTAAGTCCTCTCTAGTAAAAAGAAAGAGAGCAAATTGAAATTGCTGATAGATTAGAGCAGTTATTACCAAAAGCCAAAATAGCATTTTGAAAATAGAACTATTACCATGTTACACGGAGATGGTAGCTATTGGGGTGTAGCTAATCACTGGTTAGCAAGATGCCTGATCTCTTAACTCAGGCTATGCTTGGAGTAGTTTTCTAATGTTCGGTTCTACTTTGGAGAGTATGAAGAAAATCAAATTTAATCAAAACTTTTCAAGAATTTGCTTATGTATAGATTTCTTGGTCTTCCTTTCTTTTCCCAAAATCTTCTTTTCGTCCAAAATTCCTTGTGTTTCCTTCCCTAGTTTCTTTCCCTAGCATTTTTTGGGTTCAAACAGACCTTTAATCATTTTGCACCCTCAAACCCCAAAATAGAAATAAAAAGAAACCCTTTAAACACAACAGTTTAATCCCACCAATAATAAATCTGATCAATTAATTAAAATCAATAGGATACACAAGACAGGCAGCATCCATTCCTTGTTGCTCCTCCAATGCAGCCAATGCAAGATATTACACATATAACTATTCCAATAGCGATGAACAAATATATGAACCTGCAAGAGCAAAGCATAGTAATTAACGTATACCTAAAGACATATCTGCCAATGAAAGTTCACCATACAACAACAAAACAAGTAAAATCCAATAAAAACTAGCATCCGGTGAAGGTATATGTACACAAACCTTACCCCTATGCGCGAATGAGGGTTCACCGTATGTGGACAACAATAAAATTATCATGAAACCAGCAAATCAACAAGCCACAGAGTAAAATGGACGAAAGACGCATCTGAGTTTGTCTAATAGCAAATACTAAGAATCACAACATAATTAATCAAGTAAAAGATATGTTTGGCACTATGGTCTTAATAAAACCAACTGAATCTCAAGCCTACATTAGATTTGGTGCATAAGTACATTCTTATACCATGTTGGAAAGTACACAGTTAAGTGTTTATGGCAGTTGGAAAGTAACAGCTTCGAGAGTCGGTGCAGTTCAGGCTGACCAACATAAAATACGATGAATTTGACATATCATCATTAAGAAACAAGATGGACGTTACATTACAACAACATCATCACCGGAGTTAAACCTAACAAGTTGAGCTTGGGGTTTGTGACATAAGATTTATGGAGTCAAATAATCTATTCAACAATATAAATTCATGTCAGAAAAAGCATATTGCCAATGTTTACCAATGCATGCCCTGCTTGTTGCAACTTTCTTACAAAGGTTGAGGTCGAGGTGGGGATGTTGATGCTGATGATGATGGGATTCAACTACCCCTACCTTGTTCAATAAATCATAAGCTCAAATTTACCAATCCTAAGCGCACAAAAAACAACCCATCCTCTAATAAAAACAACACAAAAGGTGCATGCCAATACCTAAGATGCACGGTGACAGGCTCATGAAAGGGGAAATACGATTTTTTCCAAATTTAACAAAGCATTTGGGTGTCTGGACGTTCCCAAGGACCCAAACCAGGGACATTTTGGGGACGGAAAATAACACTTATTTGAACAATCTGTATCATGCAATCACGAGCTAATAAAAAATATGGTGTCTTCCGAAGTTTCAATATGTTGGTCAAGAATAAAGAAAGAAACTGCATACCATGCATTCGGGAGCTTATCGAATATGTTGCCACCCAAAGAGACAGCCATTAGCATAGGGCGACCGAGCTGAACCACCTCATAACCGGGAGAGTCCATAAGGCCGCCATGAACAGATGAAGAATGATTTTTGTATTCCACAAAGAGATACACTCCATATCCAATCATAGCCAGACCAATAAGGGTCAAGAAGAAGTTCATAAGCTTCAACAAGCACTCGAAGAACCCTTTACAAGCCATTCTCCAAACAAAATTCCAGAAAATAATAATAATAATAATAATAATAATACCCCCCGCAAACTCCTTGCACAATTCTCAGCTAACTCCTCCTGTTTCTACACCAAACAGAAAAAGCACAGAAATTTATGCACCCCCATGAAATCAAATATCAAAACAGAAAATCGGGCAAAAATAAATTCAAATTTATTTTGACAAATGAATATCAAATCAGCACTACCCAACTGAAAAAATGCCCAAACCATGAAATTGAAATGAATTCAAAAGCCGATTCTTTTCTGTTTTTAAGGAGTGGTTGGCCGGTGGATCTAACAATCAAATACCAAGATATAATGTTTGATTTTACAAGATTCTGAGAGTGGGTTCGTCAATTGAGCTTATCCGAGGCAAGATTCGAATTAAAAAGTGAAAAACTGCAATTGGGTTTTTTAAATTTAAGAAAAAGTATACTTTTTTCTTAAAGGGAATAAAAAATGAACGCACGAGATCGGGTAGAGGCCGCCGTATGGGTGCGAGGAGGACGGAGGAGGACGGGGAGATTGCAAAGCGGCAGAAAGAAAGAAATGGGAGTCGGGTGGCGTCGCGATGTGGTCGTTCGGATCCGGTCTCCGCCAGATAGATATGGCTGTGGGGGGGACTTTGTTGGGCGGTAGCTAGTGTTTTAGCTTCTTTGGATTGTACGTTTTGGTTTTCCACGTGATTGGACACTGCCCTCGTGGTTTCCTACCTGTGTTCCAAACTTCCACATTTCTTTAAATAAGGCCCCCGAATTAGGGTTCTAAGAGCATTTTGATTGGGATATTTCTTCGACGTCTCAACTCATTCCACATCATCATTCTAATAACTTTCTGTTCCGCTCTAAAATTTTACTCTCTCCGTCCGAAAATGTTATTCCCGTATTGACTTGGCACGCTTATTAAGGAATAGTAAAAAAAATGCAAAATTTTCAAAAATGCACATACAATAAACTTTTAAATCTCCTTTTATTATTAAAAAAGTACTAAAGAAGTAGATTTGTGATAAAATAGAAGGGTATTATTGATATTTAGCCTTAAAAAGTATACATAAAAAGGAAATGGGAAAAATATTTCCGGACGGACCAAAAAAGAAAATGGGAAGAATAAGGAGTATAATACTATCGCCCGACAAAACTGTACAAAAAGGAAGAAGTCGAGCACAAAAAAAATGGAATTATGTCGCGACAGACCACTACAGGCCTGGAATGGGCAGTTGCTGTGAATTTGCGTCAGTAATTTAGTCTGGCTCAGAGCCGCGGACGGGGCGTGTGCCGAGGCGGGATTCCCGGCGGGAGTTCTGCAATTGGAGAGAGCCACGACAGTACGTGGGGAGGCGTGCGGCGGGGCGGGTCCTCATCCCCATTATATACTTCCTCCGTCCCACTATATTTGTCCACTTTCATTTTTGCACACCATCCAATACACTTTTTAATCCATTTTATCTTGTAATTTGTATATTAAAAAATTATAGAAATTATATATTAATAATCTATATGTTAAGACAAATCAAACAAGATCACGCATGACTATATTTAGGCTTATACATTGAGAGAATTTGATGAGTCAAAGTGCTTAGATGAACAGTTCCAAAAGTCAAAAGTGGACGAATATAGCGGGACGGAGGGAGTATGTCCTAAAGATTTGATCTGAGCCTTTGAGATTAGTTTTTTAGAGAGAGATAAATTGAAATATAATATCAGACCGACAAATATATGACATGTTCTAAAACTAATTCCTCATTGTAGTTTTATGGTATCTAATTCCAACATAATCTTCTTTCTTAATTTTTTTTTTGGGGGTATTTTTTTCAAATATTAGAGGAGTGGAGTCACCTATATCTACAATTGGAGTAAAAAAGGAGATGCCAACCTTTACAAAAAACTCCTATATGTACCATTGGAGTAACAAAAAGCAACAATAATAAGGGCGGGTAAAAGATTAGGGAATACTTCACATAATAAACTTTATATTATACTCGCTAATCACATACAACAAAATAAAAGAAGTCATCCATTAAAGGCATAATGACAATGATTTACCCTCTGTAACTCTTTTTCTAACACTTTACCTACTCCCATCATTTTGAGGAAAAAAAACAAAAGGTCCACGAGTAAAAACTTTTGAGGTTTACGTTCTAAAAATCTTTCATGTTTTGATTTTTTTGTCAAACAATGACATTCTTTGATCACAAATTAGATTTAAACTAAAAAACTAAATAATTTAAAAATTTGATATATCAAAGCTATATCCTAAGATGAATCCAATTATATTGAATTTATACTTTAATTAAATATACTTTTCTGACAATTTGTGATCAGAAAGTGTCACTGTTTGACCAATAAAAAGTCAAAATAAAAAGGACTTTTAGAATCGGAAGATATAAAGAAACTGGTGAATGAGTTAGATTATGCATTTACACAATGCCTTAAATATTAAGGCCTTAATATAGGCTTCACAAGAATTTTCATTTGTTCCAAAAAAAAACTTACACCTTGAGTTTATCATATAATGAATCTCAAATTTAAATACTTTGTAATTTAAGTTAGCATATCCATACAAATAAAAAGAAAATAAATGGAATTACTGGGTATAATGTTAGTCTAACAAATAAAAGGGTGACATATGTCCCCAAGAGGCCTAAAATAAAACACTGATTATACAGTTCTTGCTTCATTAGTTCATTATTATATGGAGGAGAAGCTACATATGATACTTTTCCAGTTCCTTGAATTATAACTAAATTTGAACAAACACAAATTATGAAAAGCTAAAACTTGCTCTCTACATTAACACAGTTTCAAAAAACATTCTTGTACATCATCTGTTTTGTCCTGTGAGTTTGATTCATTCTCAGAATGTTTTTTCTTCTTTTTCACTCACTGCTGGATTTGGTGGTGCTGTTCTCATCTGCAGCAGAGTCATATGGTTTGACTGCAACAAGAATCTTCTCAGGCACCAATGGCCCATCTTCATGATCTGTCAGCTTCATCTCCCACCTCATCCCCAGGCCAACTTGCCTCACCTTGTTCAACGCTTCCACGCCGTCCCGGAAGATCACCGTCCCTTCTGGCCTCAAAATACGGTCCATCTCCAGAAGAATGTCCTCGAACTCGCACCTGCATTCGACAGATCCGTCTGTTTTCATAATCCAGCTATGGCGCTCGCAAGGGCAAAAAGGGAAATTCGCAAAGAGTCTTACTTGTCTTGGTACAGAGTGAATACGCCGCTGGCGTGAATGAGGTCGTATGTTCTTGGGTATGTGGAGAAGCCTTCACACCTGAATAAAAATGACCAATAATCTGTCATGCAAGTAGTCAAAACTGTGTGATAAACCCTTTCTTCCATGTTTGTGGATATCTTCTTGTAGAGCAGAAAACAAAAGAGTAAAGCTGCGTTCCATTCGCCTGATCTGATTCTAATCATTTAAAGTTGTTTCTGATCTGATTCTAATAAGAATAAGTAATAAGCTGAAAAAATGTACCAGTCATGATATATGCCAATCAATCCTCTTTCGTAGACGACGCCCAAAGTGTCTTTCGCAACAGTTGGGACAACATTCATAACCCACAGTTTTGGTGATTCCAGTGCTGCAGCAAAGCCTCCAAGGCCAGCATTCATGTCCATTATGTTGCGATACCTCGTGCTCCCCAGCAAGCTGACAATCCTTTTGTAGCCATTCACATGTTTCCTCCAAACCTTATTGTCCTCTTGATATTCTCCGGCTGTGATTCCGGGCACCAATCCGTTGGATATTCTAGGTGGAACTGCAAAGAGCCTGTCCGGAAACTTCTTCAGCTCCCCACCGGCAACTTCATCTGAACTTTGAACCTCTGGAAGGGGAGCTATGCACCCTTCTAACTTCTTATACCTAAAATTATTACAAAGTGAATGTTAGCAAAATGAAAAATTGCACGATTTCATAGCTTTTTCTTAATAAAGAATAAAATAGCATGCATATTGGCTCACCAAACGCCATCGTTGACCTTGGATTTGCATGTGTTAGTAGACCTCGCCTTGCAAGAGTTTGCGTTGATTTTCTTTCTCCAAATCGCAATGTCGCCTTTTTCGTACTTCTTCTCCCAACAGAGAAGGTTAGCGATCTCTTCAATCCTTGCTTGTTCGGCTTTGACATCTTCCTTTGACCTTTTCCAGACTTTGTAGTAGGTCTTCCAGTTTATTGGAGGCCCGGAAAGAACCCAATACCCTCCAGGTCTTAGAACTCTATCAACTTCCTTCAGATACATACCATCTAAAGATAGAGAGGGAAAAAAACACGCTCACCATAATTATGAAAATTTCAATATGCCAACCATTATTATTACTTATTAGCCTATAATTCAGGCAAAAATACATCAATTGTCCTTCAAGTTATTGCATCATGCACTGTTTGTCTTTCAACTTCAAAAATTCCACGAATAGTCTTTCATGTCACGTTAGCATTGCAGGGTTGCTCCTTCTGTTAACTTTGATGTTAGTGCACTCATTTTTTTCCATTTTTTATTATAAAACCATGTCAGGAACCCTCCCTTTCATACAATCGAACAATATTTAATATAGGTCCTTTTTTTTACTCTGTAATAATAAGTTACTCTTGCATTTATTACTCCAATTTTTTTTAATAATGTAAAGTTACTTTTGCTTTTATTAGTCTAATTTTCTTAAAAAAAATAGTCACTCCATCTTAAAATGTTTATCAAATTTTGACTTTTTACAGTCTACTAGAGTTAACTTTTGACCTATAATTTCAATTAAAAAAGATCCAATTGAAGTATGACTTAATTCTAGAATAAAAAGAGAGAGTTCCTATTTCTCAACATGTTTTTATAATGGAAAATGAAAAAAAATGCATGTACTAACAGAAAAATTGACGGAAAGACCAACCATGCAACACTAATGTGACTTAAAAGACTATTCATGAAATTTTCAAAGTTGAAGGACTAAATGCACATGATGCAATAACTCCAAGAACCAATGAAGCAATTTAGCCTACAATTTAGACCAAACTGAACAACAATTAGCCCAGTAGAATACCACAAAAAGTATGATTTGGGGAGGGTGTGTGTACACAGACAAACCTTACCCTACTAGGAAGTAGAGAGGTTGTTTCCAAGAAACCCCTAGCTCAAAAACAAAAGTACGGGCAAAGCACGTGCATATATCTACTTAAAATAGGAAACAAATATTTAACTTTTGATCCTTCAAATTGCACATATCTCGAGCCGATGCCACACTAGTTTTTGCATTTACATGACATTGAAAAATCAACATGCACTTCATGAAACAAAACAATTGGACATAGATTCGATGACAAAGAAGATGATGACGATGATAATGATGATGATAAATACCATTTTCTGCCCAGGGTATCAGGCACCGAGAGCAATGTGCCATGTCAAATGCTCTTGAAGGGTATGGAAGGCGAATTGAACCAAGAACGCCAATGACAGCTGGCACGCCCCGCTCCAATGCAAATTGAACTTGGGCTTCATGATTGTCTTTTGGCGCGAATGACATTGCTATGACATTTTTCTTCAGCAAGTAAGCACCAAAGCTGGCCACCTAAACACGATTCATGAAAAACATCATTATGAGAATACGCTGCTTAGAAGAAAACAGTGATCAAGAACTAATAAGAAGATTCTAAATGTTCTTCAGAGTAGAAGACACACCCCACAACCAGTATCAAGTGCTGTTCTTATGGAGCCATTGGCCATGGGGATTACAGATGCTAGCTCATTGATATACGCATCTGCTCCTTTAGGAAACATTGTTCCTCCTCCTGGAAACTTGAACACATTACCCTGATACTGTACCCAGTTTTGGACTGCCTTCTCAACCGTCAAGTGCTTGTAAGGGACATTAGCGTAATAAACATAATCGCGGCTTTTTGGCCAAGGGAATGGAGTCGTGTACCCATTCGGTGCTGGAATAAGGCAATGAAGCTTTTCATTGTCCGGCGGACAATGCCTTTCTCTGTATATCATGTTTTCGCGGGGGAAAGTCATAGCCCTGTCTTGTTCTTGGCAAGGGGTATAGTCTCTATACTTCGCATCACAAAACTTGTACGGTTTGGTCTTAGGTTCAGAAGTGTCAATTTTTGAAACAAATGTATGGTGGGGTTCAAAATCAAGAGCGGAAGGGAATATGTTGCAGTTTTCTGTTTGCTCCGTGACCGCCATGGCTAACCTATCTCCCTTTCCGGATCCACTGTTTTGCCACACCCCAAGGAGGTAAAAGAAGCAGCAAAGACCAAGTATGATGAATATGGATAATGATCGCCGTCCTTTGTTACTATTTGGATGGGCATGCTTTGATCCCATTATAATATGTCTTTAGCAATAGCAACTGATTTTCCTAATTCCTATAACAGCATAAGAAAAGCCAGAAGTAAGAGCAAAGCTAGATTTCTCACTAGATCACAAATAGTTACTAAATAAAAAACAGCAAGAGTTTTTTTTATAATGTGAAGAATTCTGTGGATGATATAATACAGCTAAAACTTCAGATCTGTGTTTGATGGAAGTAGAACTCTAAAAAGAAAAAAAATCTAGCCTCCCTCCACATGATTCCAAAGTTTCTTATCATCCTTAATTCCTAAGACGAATCCTTACAATTATAAATAATTTAAAAAAACACACACAAAAGCCAAAACCTAAGAACACACCATAAAGTTCGGAAAATACGTAGTATCAGGCAGAATCAAGTAGTCAACATTCACTCCCCCTTTTTTTTTCCTTTTCAAAACTGGATCCATTTATCCAAAAGAAACAAGTCACAGTCAGATTCTTTACATCACCAAGTCCATAAACAATTTAAAAAAGAACCCATCTTTGGGAAAAGCAAGAATCTGATGATTAAAGCCACTCAATGCCCAAAAAAGGCAAAAACCCAATGAGCATAAATGAGGAATCAGTGTGAAATCAAGCAGAGCGAGCAGGTAAAAGAACTGGAAATGACATTACCAGTTAGCGAGAGAGAGAAAAAGAGAGAGCTTTTCAAGAAATGGCACAAAGAAGCTTATATAAATAAGCTTAAACTAAACTGGAGTGAAGCTTACAGCGTTTCCACGCAGATTCACAGTGAAGGGAGAGAAGAGATGATTTAATCTGCTAGGGAACTACTATTCCGTAAATGCGGAAACAAGAACAATCAATCTAGGATTCTTTGATTTGGGGATTTAATATTTGATATATATGTGCAGCAAATTTAATTTAATGGGGTAGAACGTGGGAGGAGAATGTGTAGTTGATGCCAGCCAGAGGCAGAGAGAGAGAGAGAGAGAGAGAGAGAGAGTCTCAGACCGACACTGGACTCTGTTCCTTTTTTCTTTTCTTCTTTACCTATTCAGACCTTTCTTCAAATTGTCTTCTGAACTTCTATTTTCTCCCCTCCGTTTGACTAACCCGATTTATTTTACTATCTTTGATTGAATTATTTTAAATTTATTTTATACGAAAGATTAGTGTGAAATTCTAAAATAAAATTTATACTCCGGGTATATTTAAAGTTCTATCAAACAAGAGCTGGCATAATTATATTATTTTATCAAACGAATACTAAAGACAGATAATGAAAGTGATTAAAGTTTGAACATTCGAATAGTGAACATAAAACTTTAATTAACACAGAAAGAGTACTTGTTTGGTTGGAGTTGTTTAGCGCGTTATTTTCACTTGATCTCTTTAACTTATTTATATAAAAAAATCAAATTAGACCAAATTAAATTAAACCAGATCAAATCAGAAACAATTTTAAATATAACTATAACTAGAATTAGATGATTTTAAATAAAACTTATAATTATTACAAGAAATTTAATAATTTTAAGGTATTACAATTCATATATACATAGTAAAAAGTAAAATAAGAAAGTAATTGATAATAACTACTCACTAATATATTTAACATTCTCTTTGAAATATTAAATATCTTTTCAATACAAATACTTTTTTAATCTCTATGAAAACGGAATAATCAATTTCTCTTTACATAATATAGACTTGATATTAAAATAAGCTAATATTAGAAAATAAGGATGTTATTCTACAAAGCTATTACATTCTTTATGCATATTACATAGTAATATTATTGCATGTTATAAATTACACATCACATAAAATCTTTAATGCTAATATTTCTTTCGCCTCTGCTAATTGAATCACAAATTTCTATTGTTATATTATGTTGCAGTGTATTCATTTGGTTTGTAGTTGATATAATAAATATAATAATAATAATACTTCACCCGTCTTATAATAGTACGGAGTAATCATAATAATATATATAGTAATAATAAACATATTTAAAGTTACAATATTATTTAATATTTAGGTGTGTGTAGCTTTAAATAAAGTAATGTGATTTAATCGAATTGTAATTAATATTTAAACCTTAAAAAAATATAAATATTATTTTTATTATTATTTTTCCCAATCTGATTTGATCTGATCTGGTTGGATATGGTCTAATCTAATCTGATTTTAATAAAAATAAATAATAAGCAGAAAGAATAAGTCATGCAGAACGAACCTTTAGATGTTTAGTTAGTCTAAGAGCATGAACAATGACGAGGAAAAACAAGACTGTCACACGCTGACATGACATAAATCAACCAATAAAAAATGGTCTAGTCACAGAGTGGCAAGTGAGTGGAGTGGCAGATTCTACAATGGCAAGTTCTACTTTTTTCACTTTTTTAAATTTTCGTAATGTATTTTAATTATTAAAAAAATCTTTTTACTATTTGTTTCATTGAAAAAAATACTCTACTTCCTTACAAAAAAGAGCTTTTTTCTCAAAAATAAAAAATAGAAAAATAATATAAAAAATAAAAAGAAAAAGAAAAAGAGGTGTGGGGTGCCTTGCAGATATTTTGTTCTCCGTGGTGGAATGGTTTGCCTCTCCATGCTAAGCATGACAAATTATATGTTAGCAGCTGTTGTGGCAAGTTTGACAGGCATTTGCCTCGCTCGCTGCCAGTGTTCTTATAAAAACACATTGAAAGAATTATCCTTTCTTAAAAAAATCTACTTGTAGGCCTATAAAAAGTGCGAAGAGATTTGCAGATTGTTAGACTACAAAAGTACAACTCATTGTCTTAGACTTATAATACAAAACAAACTCATATTCTCTCTCTAGATTCTCTTAGACTTATAAGTTATAATATGAAAGGAAACAACTCATTGTATCTTTCACTAATATACAATGCTAAATTATGATATTACATAATATGAAAGGAAACAACTCATTGTATCTTTCACTAATATACAATGCTAAATTATGATATTACATACCAAATGTATTTAGAAAATAAAAATAGATGACGTCTTATATTGGTATAAGTTTAATTTTTTAAATTTATTTAAACATATTTATTTTTTAATTTCTAAAATAGAAAATAATGTATGTGTATAATACTCCGTATTTAGTTCTAAAATAGAAAAATATTAAGTTCTTTTTTAACACTAATAACTCTTTTATAATTGTAGTACGGAGTATATGTTAAAAATGTATAATTTTGGTATAATATTATAATTTTATAGTTACTTTATATATATTAGGGTATGCTATGATTTGTTGGATATTATATTATAATTAGAAAATAACACTAAAATTATACTCCCTCCGTTTGGGAAAACCCTTCCCACTTTGAAATTAAGGCAAATTAAGGAAGTGTAAAATTATAGTTGACTTCCAATTTTGCCCCTGATGTGATGGGTAAAAGTAAGATGTGATGGATTGATTATTAGAGCACACGGTATACCTATCACGCCCATAGGCGTTATCTCCACTTTGACGCCTGGAGGGCGTTAAACACCGCCCCCCTCCCTCGTTATCGGGGCGTTAAAACCCCCACGTCATTCTTTTGACGCAATTTGAGGCGTGATAACGCCTCTTTCTTCTTTTTTTCTTCTTCTTTTTTCCTCTTTTCTTCTCTATAAATTAAATTTAATTTTTTTTTAAAAATTCAACACAAATATAAATTTCTCTCTATCTATCATTTTTTTTTAAAAAAATTAGTATTCAAGTATTTTATTTATTTTTTCATGAATGTAATTTTTTTATTTAATGAATGTAATGTTTTTATTTAATTAATGTTGTTTTTTTATAATGAATGCAATTTTTTTATTTAATGAATGTAATTTTTTTTATTTAAAATCATGGAAGCTGACCTTTCTACGTTGTCGGGTTTCAAACGAATGATATACGAGCAAAGACAAAGAGAGATCAAGGCGAAATATAATTTACCCTAGTTTTTTTAATTAATATATCTTTTTTAATATTGTCGTTTTTTTTATTTTAATGAATGTATTTTTTTTGTATTCGTGTTTTAATATTATTAAATAATAAATTAATTTAAATTTATTAATTTAAATTTAGAAGAAGTATATTTAAAAATGTAAAAAATAAAGGTTTGAAGCCCCAGTTTGAAGCCCCGGGGCTTCAAACCCATTTCCAGTGAATTTTTGGTGTAAGTTAAAGCTGACGTGGCAGAGAGAGAAAGTTTGAAGCCCCGGTTTGAAGCCCCGGGGCTTCAAACGTATTTCCAGCGCTCTTAGAGAAAAAGTATGATGTGATAGGTAGGGTATGAAAAAGTAAGGGTAAAAGTGGTTTTTAATAGAAAGGGGAAGTATTTTGTTAGAAGTGAAAAAAATGAAAGAGGAAGTGTTTTTGAGAACGGATGGAGTACACTTTTAAAGTACAATTTTTTTTCAACCAGAAAATATATTTTTGGGACGGAGGAAGTAATATATTATCGTTGGGACTTTTGATGTGGTTTAAAATATGTATATTATAATTTTTATTTCTACACTAGTTTGTAAATAAAATAACGTTGAAAGATATGAGATTTTATGCGTTGTTGAAAGTGAAAAAAAATAATTTTAGAATGAAGAAAGAGTCAAAGAGAGAGCCCAAAAGTAGGTGTTTTAAAAAATGATAAGAATCATCAATTTTTCAAACAGAAAATCGTAAGAATCCCAAATCATTATATGATATCACGTGAACCGTCCTAAATTGAACATATTGAGTAATTTATACGAGATGGAATCCACCCAAACAAAACTTAGAGTTAAAAGAGTTATGTATGCCCCATGTGAACCTTCATTACTATATATGGAAAATGCTTTAACCATTGAAAACCAATGGTTTTTTTTACAAGATTCATTGGCCTATGTGACTATGTCTACTGATTCAATGAACTTGGGGGGTGAATATTAATATTAATGAGTTGCAGCAGTTCCATTGACCTTCACATGTATTCTCATTGATTGAAATTAACTTGAAGTCTCATTGACCATCACCCATATTTTCACTTTTTTTAATATAAATATTTAATATATGTATTTAGAAACACATTACACATGCAAATCTCTACATTGTTGCAACAAATGAAAGCAAAAAAAAGATGGATTGCAGATGAAACCGACGATGAAATGTGGAACTTCGAAAGAACATATACTATATCCCTATCTTATCTTTTGTCCCGATGCACGAAGATTAATAACATGAAATTGTGATGATCAAATTCTTTTAGAAACAAAAGGATCCATATGAACACGGTTTCTCCTTTAAGAAGATATGGAAAATTATTCGAAAAGGACTCAAAGAAAGATCGCGTTGCAGGATCTTTACAAAGGAAAGCCAATTGAGTGATAATAGATTGCATCGAGAGGAATGACCGTAATAGCAAGTCAAAAACAACACAAGCTTGGCAAAACCTCTACGGGTATCGACACTAGCAAGGACATTCATGGCTCTCACTCGTGCAAGCAAAATAATATGATTTGGAAGAGAATGAAAGGAATGGTTGAACAAAAGAATAGACATCTCCTTAAAACTGCTTGGGCACTCTTGTTTGTTGTTTCGGTCAAAAGTGTCCAAGTCTTCCTATACCAATGCAGTTTCCAAGTCATCTTTTCCGATCAATCGCCTGCCATCTAATGCCCCAGGTGGTTAGACATAAAATCGTCCTTAAAAACCCCACATTTCCCATCACACTAAACGTATTAGGTTGTACTTGCTTTGTTTTAGATGCCCATCCTTTTAATCGTGTCCCTAAGTTAGATTCCAAATCCCTGAAACGCAGCATTCTGTTTAACTCAACACAAAAAAGTAGGGTGTAGGGAGCCAAGTACTTTGTCCATGGATCACAATCCCTCCCATTTCCCTACACAAAGCTAAGCAATCATGTACCTATCATAACTCTGCATGTGTCTGATACGAGCCCTTCCCATTTCTTCTAGATTCTGTGTCCCTACCAAAGAATGTTCAAGAGGCAGTCTCATTCAGAGTAGCGCGCCACCATGATCAAGGGGAAGAAAGCCTTGGAACACAATGAACTATTGGTGCTTGATTATTAGAGTAATCACACATCTATTGAATTAGTAGTTATCTACTTCCATCACAAACTCAAGTCCTGAAAACAGCCACATGCAAAAATTTCATCACACCCATACAAGGAGATCATTACTCCGCGTAAGGATCTCCAACTCAAAGGAGATGCTTTGTGCAGGCTGTCATTTTTATTGGGTTAGGTGAAAAAATAATATTTCATTTTCGTCAATAAACTCACACATTGTGCCACATTTAACGCCTAAAACAATACTCAAATTTATCTTTGCATCCCATTTTTCCTACCTTTTGTGTTTAAAATCCCAAATAGAAATTTGACACATTAATCATAATTGTTGGCACAAACACTGGGTCTCTTGTTGCGCCAAAATCAGCAAATTTACACAATTTTTGGAGGGTGATGGAGGTGCTCTTAATGGACCGAGGCATTTTGTTTGACAATCTGCAAGCATTTGTGAGACCTAGCTTGTGGAGGCACTAAACAATGCTATCCGAAGCCACATCCAAAGAAACAGACCCATATCCACTAGTACCAATTACCCATCCATATTTTCAAGATCCTAACCAACAACTACAGCGAGTTCTAATTAACTCGTTATAAATCCCTATACAACAAGAATATATAAAAATAAAAAAAAAACCATTCCCTTTATCATTGTTCTTAAACCGACATTACACACGACTAAGCTATCACATGTATGGCAAATTATATCACACAAATATGCATTGTTTCTCTAAAGAACGCTTATTTACTTTAGTCCTTTGGTGTTTAATTATTTATTATGCTAATGTTTCTCCTAAAGAATATTAATTTGAATATGAGGGATGTGCATTTTCTTTTCAAAGAATGCTCATTTGTGTTGGATATATAAAATTATCATGTTACACTTTTTATTTGGCATATATTTTATACATTCAGCCACATTAAAAATTTAAAAAAAAAATCAAGAAATGCCCCAGAAGCTAAAAAAAGCAAAGAAAAAATAACAACTAGATTAGGGTTTCTGATTTTTTCAATAATTGCAATGTAGCGAGTTCAATAAAAGTATACAGATAGCAAGAGATGGATTTTGGGAACTCACGAGAATCCCCCACCGGGAATTAAACCATTTTGATATCAAAAGACGACGCGAAACTGGGGGGCATCGGAGGCGCTGGCCGGAAGAATCTCCCAGCGGCAGGGCTCCAGCTCCTCGGAGACAGGGCAGTAACCGGCGACGGTTACCTTGTCGGCAGAAGCGGCGACGGATCCGAATTCGAAAATGGTGACGTTCGGCGGAGGGAGGGGTCTGGAAACTTCCACCGCCCCGTTCATCCCTGGGACCTCCTGCTGCTGCTCCTGGGAAGATGGTTGGGACTTCGGATTGGGGTTTGAGTTCGCGGCGGACTTGGCGGCGGAATCCGATGAAGAGGAAGAAGCATTTGGTTTATCGCCACCTCTAAACCATGACAGAATCCCCATAGTGCTTGCTCGTTGGGTTCACAGACGATCAGTGAGACTGGCAGCGAGAATACAAATTTTAAGTATTTTAATTTTGTTTGTGAATTATTGAAAAAATCGAACCCGGGTGTATGCTAACTTAAGAACGCCCACCAAATCTATCCCTTGGAACTCATTTTCTGTTACAGTTTATGACGTTTGACTGATGTTATTTTAAAATCATTTTATATAAAAAAATGTTGTAGAATTAAAAAATATAAATTATATATTTAAAAAACTACATCAAAAGATCTACAAAACTAGCGGTGAGATGACAATATCACTTTATCAAATGTCTAACGAAAATAGAGAAAGAAAATGATTGGAACTTGACAATGTGAACAGTCAATAGGAAATTTAATTTGGGACGGAAAGAGTAATTTTTAAGATACTTGAATTAATTTTTTTTGTTTGCGAGAAAATCTAGACTGCGTATTTCTATTTGATTTATGTTTTAGAAAAATAAATGCTCTCTCCATCCCTATTTGATCTTCTTATTGACTTTTTTGCATGAAGTTTAAAACGGTAAGATTATATGTTTGAAATTTCTATAGGGGAGGGAGACAATATTGTGTTCCCAAAAACTTCTTTCTTTATAAAATTAGGAAAATTAATTAGAGACATCCGAAAAAAAGAAACTTAAAAATGAAAAAATGAATTAGGAACAACCAAAAAAGAAATTGTGATGATTAAAAAGGGACAAAAGGAGTAATTATGTATTAATACAACAACAACCCAATAGATTCACATGGAAGTAAAATCTAAAGAAGATGTGTGTACGTGGATCTTATTTCGGAAATAGAGAGGCAAATTATTTATTAATACGAGTACAAAACTTCAAATCATTTTATTTAAAAAAGATGTTTGTACGTAGATTATATCTCAAAAAAAGATAGGCAAATTATTTATTGATACGAGTACCAAACTTCAAATCATTTTTACTAAACGCTTATATCATAAAACCATTGTATATTCCTTAACATTATTTTTGGAATTGGCACACTTTAAACCTATTGTGTATCTCTTAACATGTTTTTAATTGAGTAATAAATTTGTTGTGTATTTTTTTATAGTTTGGTTAAAATAAAACCCTTTGCACAAATAATGCTCTTTTGGCAAAAGTGGATAACATTATATTGAAGAAGAAGAGTAACTAATACTCTCTATATTACAAACCTTGTCAAAGACCTTGCGGTCTAACGACATGATAGTGACTCTCTCATATGAAAGGTCACAAGTTCGATCCCTAATGGGGCTTCAGGAGTAATAACTCTACGTGCTTACTGGATCAAGAATGTATGAAGAGATACTACATTATAATAGAGTTAATAGTGTTCAAACAAAATTACAACCCTTGACATTGCTAAGTATTGCACTAGAAGCCTAGAAGTTAGGCTTACACTGTGTTTATTTCATGGAATTCGATGCGAAAGAAAGAAAAAAAAGATGAGTTTTTTCCTCATTTTCCTCACGAAAACGAAAGGAAAAATCGTTTTCTTTGTTTTTAGTGCATTTTCTTCTCCCATTTTCTTGTATATTCCCATCAATTCCTTGAACCAAACAAAATGTTAAAAGCTGCAACCACTGCTATCTGATATTTGTATTGTCTAAAGCAGAACCCCAAATGAAGGAAAAATAAAGACCAAGTAATTAAAAGGAATGCCAATCTTGGTGCTCAGAAGAGTCATCCTAGTTAATCCTTAGTTTCCAAACTGCCCTCCCATAGCTCCCAGCAACCAAAGCAGCAATTCAGTTCCCAATGTCAAGACAAAAAAGCTCTATATAAAGCTCAACTGTCTTAACTACCAGAGAACAATATAGTTTTCTTACCATCTCCCAAAGGTCTCCAAGCAGTAATTCTGTCTCTTTCCCATGCTGGAGTGGGAAGAAAAAGATACCAAGTTTCCCACATGTTTTCACCAACGTTCTCTCGGGCGACCATCTGGGAAAACGGGTATTAGGACCCCCTCGTCCTTCTCCTTTGGGTCATCAAACTTTCTTCTTGGTTTCACATTTCCCACATTCATAGATTCATCATCATCATCATCGTTGAAGTCGGGTGGTAAATCATCGTCCCCACCATCGCTCCACTCATCTTCAAAATCTCCATCTTCATCCTCTTCATCAAACCCATCATCTCTAATTAGTTTATCAATGCCGGGCTTCTCCTCTCCTCCTAGTTTATTACTGTAATCTGTATCAGAAGTTTTAATGTTTTTCCATGTACGCCGTTCAACAGATACAAGAGAACGCATCTTCTCCTTGATGAGCAATAACCTGTCTTTCTCTATCAGTTCAGATTTGTGATAAGCTTCACGGAGGAAAACGGAGTCCCTAGAGCCTTTCAAGGAGACATAGAACATATTGGGGTGTCTTATCAACATCCCTCTCAGCTGCTGAGAGAATCTAAACTCGTCTCTGAAATGTGTCAGGTGGTCAACAAGAGTTCTCTTCTCCACCGTGAGGCTCAAGATCTCGTGCACGACGCCGCAGGCGTGTTTCTCTTTCTCACGGGAGCCGCGCCTTAACATGGAGAAGTCAGAGTAGGGAGAGATGTAAGGCATGTCTCTGAACTGACACATTCTTTTCATCTCACTCTTTGAGAGGTTAAGACCCTTTGGTAGCTTCACCCTGTTGAACCTCGGTTCTCTATCGATGATCAAATCTCTCTCTTCCCGTTCGCGTTTCTTGTTCTCTTCCTCGTCGCGCTCAGCCACGGAGACAGCGAGTTGTGGGTCCCAATGAGTCAGCTCCAAAGCCGGGCCCCGCTCGGTTGCGAGCACCCTGAAATACTGCGGGTATCTAAGGCAAATGGTGTCGCGGAATTCTAAAGGAAGCCCCAAATCAGTCCTCAAATGTGCAATCTTCTCCAAGAGAATCCGCTTGTCGAGAGACATCATTAGCAGCTTCCTCAGCTTGATAACCAACAAACCCTCCATCTCATTCTTAGCCTGCAATTCCTCCAAGTAGAGTCTCTCGGCCTCCGGAGTCAAAGTAAATTTCAGAGAATAAGCACCTTCTTCTACTATCTTAAAAACAGCAGGAAAGTTTTTCAGCAGAACAATGAGTCTTCTCTTTTTCTGGATACCCAGTGCTCTTCTGAACCTTCCTAATTGACGAAGCGACATGATTTTATCGGGCTGGCTCATCAGAAGCTTCCTGATGGTCAAAACAAGCTTGAGCTTCTTATCCCTCTGAATCACATTGTCAAATGGCATCTCTTTCCTCCTTTTCACAGTAGCACTGATCGGAGAAACGGGCAAACGGGTTTTCCTCAAATTCCCCAAAGATTCAATCTTTACACCAAAATCCAAACTTTTGCCAAGAAAACAAGTCTTCTCCAAGTGGTGTCCACTAACTGAGAGCTGGGAACAAGCGAATTGGGGTTTGGGTTTTTGGAATAGTGAGGATTTATATGATAGGAACACAGGGAAAGCGCCGAAAGATGGCGTGATTTTTGGGGGAAATGACAAAACCTTGGGTTCCATGGAAGCCCTAGGATGAAATACACACCAGATTACAGGGAGGATTGTTGAACTACATTTGTGTGCACATATCAGAATCAGAGATAAGAGATTGGGTTAGGGCTTACCGGCACCCAAGAATTGCCCAAAGCTGCGGGGGCGCAAGAAGAAATCTCCTCTATGGAACAAAGATTCGACTGCTTTGTTTCGGATTAACTGTAAGTCTCTGTATTTGCAAGGTTGTGTACAAAGGGTGTGGTGGTTCAAACATCTCCAAAGTCCAAACAATAAAATTTGGAGTACCCATTTGGACGATATTCATTTGTGTCGCAATAATCTTCTGTATACAAATTAGATTTAAGTCACGAATCAATTTAATCCTCAAGTTTGTTTAGTCAAATTAGTACCTGTAATTAGAAAATGTGAATCAAATTAATTCTTTATATAAAATTTATCGAGTATATTCTAAAATTATAAGTTAACACATCAATTGATACAAAAACTAATATACAAGTTCGCCTCTTTTGTTTCAATAAACGTGATAACTTAGAATTTTAAAAGATAAATTATGTTTGAAAGATAAATTTGATTCACATTTTCTATATATAAGAACTAATTGACACAAATAAACTTATCGAGACCAAATTGAGTTAGGAGTAAACTTAGAAAGACCAAAATAAGTATTAACTCATACAAATTACAAACCATGAGGCCATCCATCTAAGGTTACCCTGGCTTTATCGCACCAACATAACAAAAACAAATTTGTGTGGCACTTGCGTTGTGTTTTTTTCCTACCTAGAATAATGCAGAACCTTTTTTTTGAAGAATATGTTTTTTTCAATATAGGAATTTATTTTATTAATTTATGTTGGATTTAGATAAGGAAGATTACTGCGAAGCAGTGTTTAAACGAAAAACTCGATAGAATAACGAATCGCGTACGAAACGCTTTCAGATCAAAGTTATTTCGGGGTATACGAAATACTTCAATCGGATAAGACGTTAATCAAGAACAAGCAATCAAAAATCTGTACCCCAATCCATACCACGAGATTCTATTTTATAGAATCGAAAAATCCATGATCGGACATGATCCTTCGCGTAGACATACGCGTACGTTCGCGTAGGGAGAAGATAGGCGCGAGTTTGAAGAGCCTCCTGCGGTTTTTAGAGTATTTTGACGTTTATCCGCTAGTTCGAGTCCTTTAATGATTTGGACTCCGATCACAAAAATCTTAAGGATTTTCATAAAGAAATAACGTCCGAAATAAAAAATTTCCAAGCTGTCCCGGGACCCCGGCCAGGGGCTGCCGCCCCTTGGACCCCGCTATCCGGAGGCTGCCGCCCCCGGACCCCCGCAAATAAATTTATAATATCGTTGAACGAGCGCGCACTCCGCGCCTCCTAACTCGTTTGACGTCTATTTAAATTCATGTCCGATCGAAGTAAATCCAATTACACAAAATAAACCGATGACACTAAAATCACCAACAATTTATATGGTGTACATTTTATTTTGAAATTCTTTATCAGTATTTATAGAAGTTGAATAAAAAATGAATTCGATTAATCATACTAATCCATAATGAGTGAATTAATTTAGAATGGAGAAAGTATATTCCTTCCAAATTTTATGATCAAAGTTTTACAATTTTGACCATGAATAGTCAAAGAGAACTTTTTTGGAATATGAGATAAGGGTCAAAGACTTTAGTGTCCAACGGCATTATTGCATCTCTCCCAAATGAGGAGCCAGAGGTTCAACCACAGTGGAGGTGGTGTTGACTCTGTCTTCAATAAGTTTGGACAATGTATTTAAATAGATATACTATCTCTCGAAAAATATATCTATCTAAAAATAATGAATGTTCACATTAGATTGATTTATAAGATGTTTCTTTTGATTTATTCTTATTATTTATTACTCTTATTAGAATGAGATTGGACTAAAACCAGATCTCAAATAAGTTTAAATATTAGTAAAATCATATGAGACTAGATCAAATCAAATTTTAATAAAACTAAATCAGATATAATCACAAGATTGTGAGAGAGACAAATCATGGTATAATCTCAATTTGATCCTTAGAGAGGCCGTCTCGTGCTCAGTGCGCACAAGAAGTTACTCCATCCGTCCGGAAATGTTCTTTTTATTTGACTTTTTACGGTCTCCAAGATTGTACTTTGACCACTAATACCTTTATTTATACATGGATATATTTTATTAAAATTTGATATTTGAAAACTACATTCTAAAATGAATATATTCATATTAAAGTTATATCGTAATACAATGTATTTTTTCCACATATCATAGTCAAAGTTTACAAACTTTGACCAAGAAATGTCAAATGGGAAGAATATTTCCGGAATAAAACTCTCACACTGCCGCTTTCGGAATTGATCTTAGGATCAATAGACTTGACATCCTCTCCTTAGACCAATTAAGCTACCCATGTGGGCTCGTTTCTTCATTTGAAAAAAAACAAACTCTACTCAATATTTTAAATTAAAAGAACAATGAGTCATAAGAAAAGGAAACATGGAATTGAAGTTTTTCAATTTGATTTCACACGGGACTAAAAAGCTCATTTTAAAAAGACTTTTACAACAAGGCCGGAAGGTTTTAGCTTGAGTTTCTGTTAGCAAAAAAAGGGAATTCGAATCGAAAATCGGTCAATTGGCCAGACAGCCTAGTTACACCAAGGGTTAAGCAATGCAGATGAAATGAAAAAGTGTGTTTGGATTCTTGTTCAATTTTGACAGCTTAAATTTCTTGACAAGAGAGATTAATGTGGATATATTGAAAGAAATAATTTGTATATTGAGCCTAAATTGTGTACATAGATTTTGCCAAAAGGAAGAAAAAAAAACCATAAATGGATATATTGCACAAGACCTAAGCCAGTATATTTTAAGAAATATAAAGCTGGAATATGATGATACAATACTATCATTACAAAGATTTAAAAAAAAAAAAGGTTACTCTCTTGTGAGATGCGGTGAACAGAAAGAAGGGATCATTTCCCTCCAGCAGCAGCCATCTTCTTGCGTATATCGAATGCAGTGTTGAATATCCCAAGAGTAGGCTCGTTGCACACAAAGCACTTCTTGTTTTTTGCATGATGCTGAGAAACACAAGAAAACAAATGGATTAATCATCTCAAACTCACATCGACTAACGATAGTATACTGAAACAATAAAAGAAAGAAAGAAAACCTACAAAGCGCAGAAAACGAAGAAAAGGATGTACCTTCAATGCACAATGTTCGCAGAAGTAGTGCTTGCACTTTGTCACAACAGGGTCGACAAACGGTTTTCTGCAGATGAAGCATGCAAAGGGCAACAAATCATCATCTTCTCCCTCATCACTCTGCTCTGCACCTTCGTCCTCGTCATCAACCATTCCCATCTCCATTCTTCGTTTCTTGGCTTTCTCTGCTTCCTCCCACTCTTTCTCCAGCTGCCATCCTGGCTTGTAATCCCCACGATCATGCATGAACTTGCATGAATCTCCATAGCCACAATACCCTGTTTCTTTATAATCCTTGCATATGTCTGGCTGATAGTCGAACCTTGCTGAAACTCTAATGTAAGCAGAAGCTCTAAGGGGACCGTGTGATCCACCAGCCTTCTCACTTGAAATTGTGTGCTCTCTCCGGAAACCAGCCTTGTAGTCCGTATATCCGTGTATCCCTTTGTACAATTTTTCATCAGCAGGGTTCTTATCTTTCCCTTTCAAAGCCTCCTCTGCTTGCTTGAGAACTCGCTCCCTAATTGCCCGGGCATCTTTTGAGAACTCGGTTTCTGTTTCCAGTGTAGCTGTTGCTCTATTATCGTTCTGAACCTGAACCCCCCCTGAGGATTCAAAATGGAACGTATGGGTTTTCAAATCTGCATCAGATTCCGAGGTCACGTCCCGCTTTGATGGTCCAGTTGAAAAGTGTAACTTGTTGTCAGCCACTGCTGGCTTCTTTTTATTGAATACTACTGAAGTCTCGGCGTTTGAATCTTCATTCTCCTCATCTTCGGTGGCAGCACGCTTTCGGATGTTTTTGGACTTTGTGGGCTTTCTAAAGAAACTACAAACTGAAACAGGCAAGAAAAATTAAGTTTCTTACATTTTATAGTTTGGGTTCACAGTTACACTTGAAGCACTCTACAAATCAATGCAAGAATAAAATAGCTATAATTTGCATCTAACCAAATGGATTTAGTTTCTAATTTTAACTTTGGTAATTGATTACTAACAAAACTGAGAACAAGATTTTAAAAAATGAATTTTGTGAAAGTTTCAGACAAACTGTTCCATATATGAGGAGATCATACCTGTAGATTGAGGGTCTCCAGGATTGACTTTATCAGATTCGTCAGCCATTAAGAGTTAAGAGTTCTGCAATTAAGGGTTTCCAGAGGCGAAAAAGGAAACAAGTGCCTATAAAATCTAGGTTTCCATGGAGCCCTAGAATGAAATACATCATGAGATAACAAAATGAGGACTATGCATAAGGACCCTGCACAAAATAAAAATTGTGGTCCTATTGCATCTCATAGTAGTAAAATTTAAATAAGTTTAAAATGAAAAACACTTCTTTTCATTAAAAAAAGAAGAAGAAGATGAACACAAGATTTTTTAGCCGACAAAAAACACAAGCTAATAAAGCATCCCAATAAAATAAACTAAGGCCCCGTTTGGTACATGGAATTCAAACCATGGAATTGGAATTGAGGACTTCAATTCCAATTCTGGTGTTTGGTAGCACAAAAATTATGTGGATTTGGAATTGATAGTGTAAAAAATACATTGGAATTGGCAGAATTCAATTCTATGGAATTGAATCTCATGGAATTTCAATTCCAATTCAATTCCAATTCCGTCAATTCCATATACCAAACGGGCCCTAAGGGTCCATTTGGTACACGGAATTGATGGAAATGGAATTGAATTGGGAGTTGAAATTCGATGGAATTGATTTGGATGGAATTGAATTCTTTTATTCCAATTCATTTTTGGCACTACCAATTCCAAATCCACATATTTTTGTCCTACCAAACAGAAGAATCGGATTTGTTGTCCCCAATTCCAATTCCATAGTTTGAATTCAGTGTACTAAACGGAGCCTTAGAGAAAAGCTAATAACACAATTATCTGATAACTATTAACACCAAAGACCCCACAAAAGAACAAAGTGAGCTACGAATCCCAAACAATGCAAATTCTGAAATACTTAGCAATGACAAAACAAAGCAACAAAGTGAAATATAAACCCTAAAATCCTAAATGATGCAATTAATAACAAAGCAAATACACTGTCCTGAGCAATGAGCATTCAAAATTCAAAGGCTTAATTGCCTAAACGATTAAGAGATTACCGATACCGATCAAATAGAATTCAAATACGAACTGGAAAAAGAAAATATATCATTCAACGCAATCAATTATTCCAAAATAGAAGAAAAATATCAAAGAAATCGCACCTAGACTCCTGGAGAGTTGGATTTCTGCCGAGTAGCCGATGGTCTACGGATCCTAGACTCCTAGCGGCTAGCGGCTAGCAGCGCCGTCGCCTCCTCCCGTCCTCCGTCGTCTCGACCGCTTCTCGACTGCTCAGTTGCGGTTCTCGCAAGGATACGTTGGGGCGCTGGGGCTTCTGGGATTATTTGGGCCCTTTGGATTATAGTTCGGACTTACATTTATTAGTTTAAAACTAATGGTGAGTAGCTGTATTGGGCATACATTGTTTAGGCCCAAAATTGGCCCTGTAAAAAATTACTGTAAACCTTCTACGTACGCAAAATATTACTCCGTAAAATAAATACGGAGTATATATTTACTCCGTAATAGATTATCTTCCGACATGAATTTAGTTATGTCAAAAGAAGTGTGAATTTTTAGGAGAATCTTAAGAATTTCCCTACTTTTTTAGTTTTTTTCTTTTTTACTAATTCTCTCTTGTTCTTTGTTGACAAATTTTTGTATTTTTAATCTCTTTTTGACTATTTTTCTTGTTCACTTTTTGAAAAGTATGCTTGAAAGACTTTCATGCACAAATAGAAGAAATTGTAACCAAATATCATTATTTAATACTCCATATTATATTAAGTGCGTATTGGAGAATTCGTTTACCCACCAATAAAATTCTTTCTCATTATCTTTTTAACATCTAAAGTATCATAAATTCATAACTATCCCCAATTTATTTATTTATTACACCTCATAAAATATACTACACGACTTTCATTAAGGGTCTGTTTGGTACACGAAATTAACAGAATTGGAATTGAATTGAAAATTGAAATTCTATAAAATTGATTAGGATAGAATTAAGTGAAATTTGCACTAAATAGGACTAAAACATACGAGTAAGTCATTTCCTAATGTAGGACTTAAACTTTTTTATTCCCTAATAGGACTAAATAATGACTAGTGAGAAGAATAATGTCCAAGTGATGCTGGACATTTAGTTGAATAATGACTAACTCATAATGACCAAAGGTCCTACATTGAGAAATAAAAACATATAGTCCTATATTGGGAAAGTTATTACTCCGTATGTTTTAATCCTATTTAGGTAAAATTCTCTAGAATTAATTTCTCTCATTCCAATTCATTTTAAGCATTAGAAATTCCAAATCTACATATTTTTTATTTTAAACAGCAGAATTAGAATTGATATCCTCAAGTCTAATTTTATAATGTGAATTTTACAAAGTAGATCTTCATTTATGTCTATCTATTATCTAACTATAAACTAGGATAGGTAGTATATCTATATAGAGGTTATGCCTATATATATACTCCGTATTTGCTTAATTCTTTTGTTTTGGGGTTTTCGATTATTAAATTTAATCATTTTCCTTCTTAATTTCTACGCATGAGATCTAACAATACATATGATCTAACAATACATATTGCTTATAAGGTATGTTCATCACACCATATCTATTCTTATTAACTGTAAATGAACAAACACTGCAAAGCAAAATAGGGTGGAGATGTTCAATGCTGCATCTCCGTTTAAAATGTGTTGTTTTGGACCATATGGATTGTTCACTTCACGAAGAATTGAACTATTTCTTTGGTTCGAAATTGACCAAAAATTTAATGGAGATGCAGCTTTGAACATCTATACTGAAGTCTTTGTTTTACACAATAACTTCTTCTGCTATCATTTTTCGTTTATTTGCTTCTAGATACACAGTTATTTTCAGAAGAACGAGCTGATAAAAGCTTGGATTAATGGATATAATTCTTCCCATTTTTAAATATATATTACTTTGTATAAAATACATATTAGTTCATGTGTCCAATCAAACTTTTCAAAGACGAAAAAAGGGACACTCTTAGAATGTGTAATTTGAATATTATTTTTAAATTTTACTCTTACTTTATAATAAGGTTGAGTATGATGTACTTGTATATGATATATGATCCATATTTAGAAAACAATATCAAAATTACCTATTTTTAGGACACATCTTTTTTTTCTTCTTTGAAAAGTTTTATGAGACAGAGCAAGTTTTAAAAATACTGAAACCCCCAAATAGAATCTCTATATTTTTATATCCAAAATATGAGTTGAATAGACAATACGAAGATTAATTTGGAGGAAGAAAGTATCTTTTAGAGGGAATATTGTTAATAAACAATAAAATATAATTAAAATGTTAATCATATCTAAGAGATCAATTTTGCACTAATTAGATCTCAGACATATTTTTTGTCTAGTTGTTAAGAGCTGCATCGCCCATTAAAATATGAGTCGCTTTGAACCATATGAAGTGTTCACTTCATGAGGAATTGGACTACTTCAATAGTTCAAAATTGACTCACATTTAAATGGCGATGCAGCACTTAACACCTATACTTAAGTCTTGGTTTAGCACCATTATTTTCGATGTGAATGAGGAACTTGTTTTAAAAATAGTTGTTAAATCCCCACATTTATACAAATTGGACAAGTTCATCCATAAGTTGTGTCACACATTGTCCCCTTTCATTTTTTTATACTTTTAGGGTAAATTTGCACATTTGTAACAAATAGTGTGGATTTTGCCAGAATTAAGGTGGATTTAGCAAGACTCAATATCTATTTGAGTAAATCTATAAATAATCCTTATAATAAGATTTTTTTTTCCTACTAATAGTACGTCATATGTGGAAATTGCCTTGTTTGCATATCTTATTTACATATGATCGAAGAAAGAAGTGAATAGTTCACATTCTTTTTTTAAAAAAAAATGTTATATACTCCTAACTTATATTATTGTTAAACAAGATACAAGATCCAAGTGAAAAAATTATTGAACACATTTTTAATACTCCGTATTGTATACAAGCTAAGTGATTAGTTCACATTGGCATTTTCCCATTTTGGTATTATTTTAAGAGGGCGTACTCATGACATTAGACCTTATGTCATAGGGTCTTGTTTTGAATTTCTATGGTGTCTCGTTTTAAAAATTGATAATCACTACTTCCTAATTCATACTATACGGTAAACTCTTTCACCATGACCTGACACGAACCTATCCCACCCACACCAATTGCACCCCACAAGATTGATTTGAGTTTAGAATCAAAATTTGACTTCAAAGTCAACTAAATCTTTTGCAGTGCAATTGACGGGGTGAGAGCTAAGTTTGGGTCCGGCTCGGGTGGGGATTTATCTGGGGAGAGAGGGAGAAGAGTCGTTAATTTTTCGAACAGAGCATCTTATGTACCCCGACTCATCTCATGACATTGATTCCCGGAGAGTACTTTACAACAATCATATCTTCCATTATCAATTACTCTGTATTACACTATTACAAAGAAAACAATCAATAACACAACAATGTAAACATGCCGTCAATCCATGTAAACACTAACAATTCATAAATCCCATTACACAAATAGATAATCTTATAGTGAATTGAACTAGCTATAACCTTATTCAGAGAGACATATATACATACAAGTGTACATACATAGATTACCAGGTGTATGTTATTCATGCATTAATTAATCTGTATTCCTGAATCATATTCTTCACCTGCTTTCCAGTTTTCTGGAATGTTGTTGAGAGCGACTACCCATGTCTCCTCTGCATCTTCATCATTGCCACTCAAAAGCATCCTAATTTGCAAAGGCCCGCATGGGGGTGATGTGGTTGCCCACACCGCCCCATATGCCCTATCCATCAACTTGCACTTGAAGTTTTGAATCTGCAAAAACAACAAGTTTCTTGTTATCTAATCGACCAAGTTAGCTTTTTTATACTATTCCATTGCCTTCTCTGTGAATAACTTTTGGATTCTGTTATATATTTTAGTGTAATTGAAATAATTATTTGACCAATGGTATCAATAATCATTAAAGAAGTTTGGTGGTGCGGAATGCACGCTTCGTTGAGTTTGTTATGATAAAAGTCTCGTTTTAACTAGAGTTCCAAGGGGGCAGTGCCCCTGGGGTCGAGATGCGTGTTAAAAATACACTTGAAAGTTAATTTTTGGAATTTGTTTAAAGGTTTTTTCCAAAAATAGGTGCCTTCTAAAATCGCGTGATTAGACGTGAGTTTTAGATGAGAGACGGGACCCATCTCTTCCTCCTTCTGCGGCTATATGAATCCGGCAAATCCTTGGTCGCATAAATAGTTCGAAAATTCATGATCAACACGTACCTGTTCTTGTCAAATTTGAATTTTATCCGATTGATTTTTGGATTGAACACCCAAAATAATCAATCTCAAAATGCTACACGATTCTCAGATTAATTCGTGTTATCTTTGATTTTCTCAACAGATTGCATGCAGGAGGTCTAGTTTTTATGAAGTTTTGACTAATAAATGTAAATGTCACAATACATTAAAGTTCTAATAGAAATAATAGTCACTTATTGTCTTTTACACACACACACATATATATACACATACATAGACACACACACACACACACATATATATGTATGTATGTATGTATGTATGTATAAAATAAAGTTTTACTTGCAAGTATTGACATCACGTAATACCTCCGCCCCAAAAATAGAGAGACATATTGACTAAAATGGTAAAATAAGGGAGAGATAATTTTGTGTTGACTTTCCAAAAGTACCTTTGATGTGACGGGTAAAAGTAGGATGTGATATATTGATTATTAGCAAAAGGGTATGATCTAATAGGTAGAATATGAAAAAGTAATGGGTAAAAGTGGTATTTTAATAGAATTAGGAAGGAGATTGTGAGACACCATTTTTTTGAAATGTGGAGGAGTTTTTGGAACAGAGGGAGTATAACTCTAATATATAATGATAGATGAAATTAAGTATATTTTCTGATCCTATTATCATATGAACTCTCAAGGTGTCATTATAAGTAAGCATAATTAAAGTGCATACCTCACATATTAGGAGTGCAGTAATATCCTTTAGTCCTTGTTGGTACCATATTGCAAAAGCCAAGTAATGAGGATTGATGCTTTTCTCATGTATCTTGAATGTCATGTTTTTGTTTGGATAGCTGCAAGGAACCCTGTTTTTGACATATTGAGAGTAAAAATGTGACATGCTTTTAAAATAAAAAGTTTTACAACTATTTCACATAATAATGATGTGTTAAGAATAAGTGGCAATATATTGACTGTGTTGTGTTTTTGGTCCCACGCCGAAGTGTTGCTTAGCTTTGGTAAAAAGATTAAGAGCTTTAAGTTCTAAAAAATGTTCTAAACTAAGAGTAAACTAAAATTTCATACTTTTGTTCTCAAAATAGGAATTATAATGTGGATAATGTCAACATATAACATCAAAAAATACTTTGAGATGTCAATATAGTGTCACAATATAAACTTCTATTTGAGATTAAAAACATGAAGCTTTTATTTTAATTTTTTTCTATGTTTTACTTCAATTTAATTAAGGTTATTTAGTCATATGTGTTAAAAGTAAACATTATCATTAAATAATCTTTTCAAAATAGATTAAAACTAAGCATCAACGAGATCAGACACCAAATATTTTTACAAACAATCATTATAGTAGAACATTTGGTATTAAAATTTTGTTATCAAACTTAATGAGTTTCTAATATATATATATATATATATATATATATATATATATATATATATATATATTTGTCATTTAAACACAAGTAAAATGGAATTGTTACCTTTGATATTGAATATCAACAACACCTTGTGACAATAGACATTGAGCGGACCATTTTGTGTTAGCCATTCGGCCAAAGGCTCCGCGGCTTAAAATGAAGTCCGTCCGGTCGCTCGCTCCGCTGTCCGTTATAACGGCCGTCACTCCTTTGTCGGAACAGTACGCGGCGTCGGTGCACCTCACCTGGTAGCATGCGCCGCATCCGACGCCGTCGCGGTAGAGATTTGACGCCGCCGTTACATCCCCGCCGTTGATTGTGGCTCCAAACGCTCCATACCCACAACTCCCAACTGCGCCCAAAGTAGGGGTAATAAGAGAAAGTAGAATTAAAGTGTTTTAATTTGATAAACACATCTAGTAGTAAATAGATATGAGGTGATAGATTTGGTAATAATTTATAAAAAGAGAATAGACTTTTTAATAAAAAGTGGAAGTATTTTATAGGAAAAAAAGATAACATGATTACAAAATATACTTCATATTTTAAAAGCCGACTTCAAAATTTTTACTTCCTACTCCATATTTAAAAGCCGACTTCAAAATAGACTTTTTGGTAATACTTCCTACTCCATATTTAAAAGCCGACTTCAAAATTTTTACAAAACAAAAGATAACATGATTACAAAATATACTTCATATTATATTCTTAAACAAGTAACCAAAAAAAAGACAAATGTAGATATATTTGTCTTTTTGGTTACTTGTTTAAGAAAATAATATGAAGTAAGAAAGTAGATCTTCATTTATTGTTTTGTTCGTGGTACCAAAAATGTCTGTTTAGATCATAGAAAAAAAGTGAACTGTTTACTTCCGAATTTTTCAGATATTGCACGTTTATTCTTAAACGTTAAAAAATGTATAAAACATCCCTGAGTTTTTCAGAAATTACACGATTTATTCTTACTTTCTGTGCCTCTGTCATCAGAGTTAGGATAGTAAGTGGCTCGGGACTGAACAAAACAATCTCCAGCTGGAACTTGCACCAAAATAAATAACGTTATTATTATTGTTATTATCATGAAATTCATCATCACTAACACAGGTAGAGGAGCTGATGACCAGCCGCCATTAATGGAGTTTAATGAAGCTTAAGTGGAGTAATTAATTATGAAGAAGAATATATATACTCCGTATAAGAGGAAGAGAAATGGGTTAGTTTGAGCATTTATAGTAAACTGATGATGAATATAATGAATGCACAAAGGAAAAATACAATTAAATTCCTATTGCATTGGATTTTTGGCTGGTGGGAAAAATATTGAGAATGTTTTTAATGGCATTTTGCCTAACCGTTGACCCCATCAGGATTTGATTTTAAATGGACATCAACTAGCTAGTCAACAAATCTAGTTTAATCTTGGCTTCGTGAAAATCTCGAATCAAAATATACTACTTCTGTCCTAAAACTTTCTTCCCACTTCCCCTTTTTCTCCGTCCTAAAACTACCTTCCCATTAGAAAAAAAGATGACAAATGACATTAATACCCTCATGTATTTACACCAATTATCTTCTAACTCTATATTTTGAATGATTGTAAAAAAAAATTTAAAAAATCATTTTTAAGGAGGATAAAATTTGAAGTCAAAGCCAAAAATTAAAAATGGGGAAAAGTCAAACTGGGAAGAAAGAATTAGGATGGAGGGAGTATCTAACTTGCATCAATGTAAAAAAAAAAATTGTTGCCTCTGAATTTTTCAAAAATTATAGGAATTCCTTTTGTGCAAGAGTTCACACCACTATTCTCTTATTTGTTGGTAAATTATACTTTTTCGTATGATATTATTTCCAAATTCTCTTTTGCACGCCATGGCTAATGCCTGTACCGAGATAAGGTGGTTGTGTGGGCTCTTGGCTGCTTTAGATGTTCCTTGTGTCGCGATTCCTCGTTTATATTGTGATAACAAATCTGCTTTGTTCATTGCCGCTAATCCTATTTTTCATGAGCGTTCGAAGCACATTGATATTGACTGTCATATTGTCCGGGAGTGCATCTAGAGAAATCATGTTGTCACAGCTTATGTTCCTACGCATCTCTAGACTACGGACATCTTCACTAAAGCGTTGTCTGGTCCTCTATTTCATTGTTTATTGTCCAAGTTGGGCATTTATGATATTCATGCTTCAACTTGAGGATGAGTTTTAGAACATACTCCATATTTTATGCATAATATTAGTATTCATTGTATTGGGCTAGTTACATTGGACTCCTCGTTTGTATTGCCGATATGTACTTATATTCTTTCGTATCAATGAAAGCTCAATCCATTTTTACAAAAGCATAAATATTCTTAAAAAAATAAAATAAAGCCCAAAATATAGATTTTGAACCGGGCCAATTTTATTTTTTCATTTTTCAAGGCCGGCTATGCTTTCTTGTCTACATAACACTCAATAACTCAAATTTTCAATTCTTAATAATTACATTTAGTCAAATGTGGGACATTGTTCGAGAAAGAAAAAATAGTATTTGGTACTCCCCGTGTTTTAAAATTGCACTCAACATGAACTCAACATGTTTATTAAGCAAAGTGAAATCTTCTTCTAAATAGGTAGAACCTTAATTGAGATACACTATGAAAATAAAATCTTAATTCGAATCAAGTACTCCGTATAATTTTTTACTTTAACACCAAAGATGACACCAAAATTAGCATCATTAGAAACAATTAATTTATAAGACGATTGTTATCTATGATACAATGGCATAATGTCATCTTCGGGTGTCATATGTGATGTGACTAAACGCACAACGCTTCCACACCCTTCCAATTTTCCTAAACTTATGTGACACTTCCCATGTTCTAAACCACTAAATGTTGGAATTCAATATTTTCGTTTGCTATCCATTAAAAGTGCTTTAAATCTTGAAAAATATCAAAACTATGCACAATATATTTTACTCATTTTTGTTGATGTGCCTTCTTTTCAGAGCACGCCAAAATAGACCACACATTTGAGAGTGGATAAAGCCATGAAAAAAGGCACGCCTGGCCTTGTGAAGATATATAGATTGGTTGAAAGCAAATGGAGTTGTGCATGTAACCTTACATCATGCATGACAAGGAAACCATTTCGAGTGAGGACGTACTACTAATATGAAGTACTTCATTAGAATACGGACCCGTTTGGCATCAACGTTTAACGTTTAACGTTTTGAAAAGGCTATTAGACGGTAGCCTTTAGCATTAGCGTTTTCTGAGTTAATCTACACTATTAAAATTTTATCCAAAATACTAACCCTAATTGAAAATAATCTTCCCAAACAAGGCCTACTATGCCTTTGAGTTTCTTACGGTGCCTCGTTGGGCCGAGTGAAAGGGGGTGAGTCAAGGGGTTGGGGTAATGATACGCTTTCGTGTCCGATGACATGAAAGTCATTCATGTGACTGATCAAACTTTTGTGTATGACACCGGTTTACAAATTGCCATTTCCCACAACTTCATTGTGTGCACCGCATTGGAAACTGAATTGTGGGTTACCTTGATGGGGCTGAAACTGCGTTTTGTACGACTGATTTTTTCGTTGTTTACTTGTAGTTTATGAGAAAATGTATTCAGGTAATTTGGTATTGTTGTCAACACTCACATTATTGATTATTGAATACATACATTGCCTGCCTAATTTCACCTACTTCCAAACAAAGCCTTGGACTGCACAAAATGTTCTTATTTCCTTCAAACAACGCAAAACAAAAGGACGTATTGGCAAGAGCAAAATATTGTGAAGCAAAACCCTCATACCATTATGCAAGAGCAAAACATTATGCCTTCTAATTTAGCACTTAAATCATACTAATTATCGTAAGGCTTTAGAAGTTTTTATCCACAAAGAAAGGGGACAGAACGGCAAACATTTATGCACTACATTGTTAGAGTAGCAGCAAGGCTGCGTTTGTTTGTTTGACAATCGCCAATACATACCGATATCGCCATCATCCATGAACATGTTAGGGAGAGAGACGGCACGCTTATATACTTTTTTTAAAAAAATATAACGGGTAGCAGCAGCTCTCTCGTCTGTAGCAGCATAATTCCTCCAAACATATACTGGTATTTCACTACTCTCTTATCTTCTCTTTCACTAATATCTTTGGATTGAAGGATTTGGAGGAAATAAAGGATAGATGGAAAGGGGTTGTTTTTTTAAAAAAAAATGATCAAATTGAAAAAATGGAGAATTGTGATTAGAAGTTCTTTGATTATTTTTTGGCACTCTTTTATCATAGGTATTGTCTTTGTTAAAACTTCATAACCCCGCTCCTCCGGGTTTTTTTTAATAAAAAAAATTTATATCCATCCGTTCCATTTCCTCCCAAACCCTTCCATCCAAACAGTGTACCTGGTTCGTCTGTGGCCTTCCTTCTACCCAGAGCATTGGATGTGCTGGAATGTGTTCTTCTGACATGCTTAAATTTATCCCCCAAAAGGTTGTAGCCCAACCGCAATATTGGGAAACACTGCACTGGATCTTAGTTATCGTCACATTGGACAACACACAAACCGAGCTGCTGGAGACAGAAGAATGAACCATCCGATTGACAAGAGCCTAGACCTTCAACCATGGTAGTGAAGGTTCAGGTTCTGTGAATTTGAACCCCTTGAGGTTTGTTGAGGTTGGGAATTTTGCATGTTTATTGTTGTGTTGTAGTGGGAATATGGCTGGGGATAAAGTGGATTTGGCACACTCTGTAAATTAGGAAACCAATCAGGAAATCATACTAAAAAAAATTAGTTACGCAAAATAAAAAGGTGACAAAGTAAACCACGAGAATAAATCAGCAAGAAAATGAACAATGCAAATACCTGTGATTGAAGAGGGTTGGAGTTGGGCATCCCGAAATGCTTCTGTGAAGCATCATCTTGTGAATGCTCGTTGTATCCAGCTTGTGTAAACAGACCATAGGCACCGTGAGCCATATAATCCTATTCCACAATTCAACCCAAATTTAGAAATAATCTAGGAGCAAACACAATCGCATTCAATGAAAAAACACTGCTTGAAGCATTCTCCCTGTTACTGGTAATTAAGTCATCTTTTGCTTTCTTTTTTAAAACAAAACTTTTACAATATCAGTTGTTATTTAAAATATAGAGTACAATTAAACTAACTTCTTGATGTTAAAGGAGATATTATTGACAGTTAAGGTAAAAGTGTAAAACACTATGTTTTGAACTATTACTATACAATAGGGATATATTAGAGCTTAATTCGTGTGCATAACACTTTGAAACAAATAACATCTAGAGGTTGATCCTAGAGAACATAACCTACAGACCTGTGACATATATTCATTTGCAGAAGGAAATTGAGAGTATCCAGTTTGAGCATTCTGGTTCACAAAGTTCCCAGGCAATCCAGAGGGTGCTCCTTGAGTTGCATAGTCAACACCAAACCCACTTTGTGAAGCCTGCATGACATTACAAAGCAAAAGCAATCTGAAACCTCACAAAACAGAAAGTGTTTAGAGTTGCAACGACCCAACACATGAAATTGGGATTCACTGATAGTCCAAAATCAAGCGGCAGCTGCTTGTCTCAAATTTTGAATGGACAGTTGTGATCCAAGCAGCAATAGAACCACTCAGGTGCTTCTTTAATCATAACCGTCCGATATCAATCAGCGTTAAAAGATTAAGACAAGCACGTGATGTTTGTCTGAACCCACATATATGTATGTCATCGACAGTGTACGTGAAGAAATGTAGAGAATACATCTGACCTACCTGTGTGGAATATTCTGAAATACTATATGCAACATGTGATCCCTGGCTCTTAAAATCCTCCCCCAAGAAATCCTGATGAAATATAAGAAAAAGATTGAAGGAAACACATAAAGTTTAAGAAAAAGGTTGCATTTGAATACCTATCCTGAAATGTGAGATGGGAATATGGGATAACAAGTCACAAATGAACAAAACTATCAATTAAAAAAGTAGAGCAAAAACTCAATCAACCCACATTAGAAACATATCCAGGCTGAGTTAACTGTCCTCCTGCAAGCGGTTGAATGTTCGAATTATCCAATGCTGGGAAATTGAAGTTAGAACCAAGACCTCCAATTGATTGCTGAGAACTTTGCTGGTAGGGAAGATGACCACCAATTGGAGTGTTATGTCCCCCAAACCCATGACTACCAGAC